TCTGTTGATGTAGAATGCTATTAGGTGTCATTACAATATCTGTTGTAGTGGGGGAGGATGATAACATTGTCATTGTAGTAACAGTATTAATGTCTTCAGTAATAGTAGAGGATGATATTTCAGTCACTGAAGGAATTGGCTCTAAAAGGAAAATAATTAAATGATATTACTTAGGAAACTACTCACTTGTTATAACTGATATCAGTGGATAGTCATTATGTTCCAATGGTATTAATCCATTACTGCTATCAAGCTCATAATTCAATGGTCCATTGTATTGTTGATAATACATTGGATTACTATTAGTGGTTACATTGATTACTAATATATCTCCATACTCTACTTCAATATCACTTGTAAAGTTATATACATTACCATTACTTGATGTAGCAGCAGAAGCATCAACAGTTAGTGCATGAATCAGTTCAGAAGAACGTTTTAAATAAATGTTAGGATAATGTTTGCTTGTATCCTGATTCTGTGTAATACCAATTATCCAGTTAGTAATAATACCATTACATGTGAACTGTATATCAGGAAAAGCTCTTGTATCATTGACTGGTATTACATTAGTAACTGATAGACTGTTTGTATTAATTTCAGCTTCCGTGAAAACATTTTTAAAACAGTTTGGAGGATCTAGATAATAAAAAGTATCAATTAACGAATTATTTGTAATATTGTTACACATACTTGTTATTAGATGCACCATAAAAACATTTTTTGTATCTATTAAATCAATTTCTCTTCTTGAACCATATATTCTGATATACTCATCACCAATAGAGCCTGCTCTTATTCTTCCAACTGTTTCTGTGCTGCTAGTGGTTGCATTGTAAAGTCTAACAACACTTGAATCATCTTCAGGTTGAAACACTCCTAGTCTGTATTTATCATAATTACTGCTGACACTAAAAGGAGTAGGAAGAACATAACGATATAATCCATTAGTAGTGACATTATCAGGAGACAGTGTAATAGGAGTAGAAACACGTTCCCAGTAATAAGATTTGCTGTCATATTGTATTATTCGCCATATCTCAATGCTAGGATACTTGTTCCTATTAACATTTTTTGATCTAATATCAATTCCAAGAAGAACTTCTGTTGCAGTAACAGTACCGCTACAATTAAATGAATGGCCACCAGCAATGATCCATCTTCCTTCATTGTTCTCAGCTAAAGTATTATCAGCTAGTGAACCAACTGGTGTAGCTGCTTTAGCTACTAGTAGACTCAAGTCCATGAATCCTTCAGTACATACTCCTCCTCCTGTTGCCCCTTCATTACTAGCAACCAATAATAATAGGAATAAGAAGATACTGGACATTTTGTGATGACCTACTCAGCAAGCTCACCTAATTGATAATTTTATCTACAGGATGTAGATCTACATCATTTACCACACCCAATTTTACTAATTAGCAAATTTGAATTTATTGTACTCTCTAATCTACTCTAACCACACAATCAATATTTTAGTGCAACTCATTATGTGTGCATGTGCTCTATGAGCATTAATGTATGTTTAATGTTCATATATTAGATGTACAACTCTTCTTCTTCTTTCTGTTGTGTATATGCTTCATTATGTGCTGGGATTACAATAACCTGCCAATAGAAATACAGGGAATTAATGGACTATTATGACTAGGACTTTTAATATTGAGTTTAAGTAATAAAATTGAATTAGCTCTGGCCATGATTATTGCATAATAGTTCACTAAACGATATTTACAACATAATATTGTCATGTTACCCCTTGTTTATTATTCATTGTTTTTGCTTTATCATACACTAATGGTTCTTCATTAATACCTATGTGCACATATTGTATCAAATTATAATAATAGCTCTTATTATTTTACTTTGTGTCATAGTGTTGATTCCATAAGCAGGATTACTATAGTCATCATCATCTATTGTAATTGGTTAAAATTTCCTTTTTAGGTATAAAAATCTATATCTTACTTTTATTTCCACCAATAACACCATAAGCAGCATTACCAGACATATTTGATATTATATTCTGTCCTTCATCTATACAATAACAATAAATTAGTGAAATGTTCTTTATTTAAGAAATTTACCTCTTTTATGCTCATCTACTACTCTTTGAGTATTACTTTTAGCATTACCAGTGCTCAACTGTTTTCTCCTACACACTAATACACTCACTATTAATATTACTAGTATAGTAACTACCAGTAATACTGCACTAATAACTCCTATTAGCATTATCAGTGTATTACTGTCTATACTTTGACCAGGTGTGCTCTCCATTGATGTAGTGGCTATTATTGATGAAGTTACTTATTAATATTTATAGTATAATAGTTACTGTACTTGATGTTATGCTAAATTTAGTAGATTCCATTGGCTCCTTAGTTACAACTGTAGATCTTGAGTACAATGCATTGATGCTTGATGAAGTATCTGCATTAGAAGTAATAGGTACAGTATAATGATTGCTGTTACATGAATACCTGAAAATGATGAAGTTACACTGCCATAGAATGAGACAGAAATGCTAGTGGTCACGGCCCATGAAGTAGTAATAACACTGCTTGATAAGGCATTAGTAGCAGATGCTGTAGTGCTTAAACTATGATGTAAGCCAGTAGAATGGTATGATGTTGGAATGCCATGAGGCATCATTACAATATCTGTAGTGGAGGAGAATGTTGACTCGATAGTAGCTGATGATGTTTGAGTAATTGAAGGAATTGGCTCTAAAAGGAAAATATAATTTTCATTACATAGTATAGTTTAGGAATACTCACTCATCATAACTGATATCAGTGGATAGTCATTATGTTCCAATGGTATTAATCCATTACTGCTATCAAGCTCATAATTCAATGGTCCATTGTATTGTTGATAATACATTGGATTACTATTAGTGGTTACATTGATTACTAATATATCTCCATACTGTACTTCAATATCGCTTGTAAAGTTATATACATTACCATTACTTGATGTAGCAGCAGAAGCATCAACAGTTAGTGCATGAATCAGTTGAGAAGAACGTTTTAAATAAATGTTAGGATAATGTTTGCTTGTATCCTGATTCTGTGTAATACCAATTATCCAGTTAGTAATAATACCATTACATGTGAACTGTATATCAGGAAAAGCTCTTGTATCAGTGACTGGTATTACATTAGTAACTGATAGACTGTTTGTATTAATTTCAGTTTCAGTGAAAACATTTTGAAAGCAGTTTGGAGGCTCTAGATAAAAAATGAATTTAATATTTTGTTAATGACGTTATGCATACCTGTTATTAGATGTGCCATAAAAACATCATTTGTATCTACTTGATCAATTTCTCTATTTAAGCCAGTTATTGTGATACTTGATTCACTAATGGAGCCTGCTCTTATTCTTCCAACTGTTTCTGTGCTGCTATATAGTGGTTGCATTGTAAAGTCTAACAACACTTGAATCATCTTCAGGTTGATACATTCCTAGCCTGTAAGTATTAGCAAGACTGACAGTAGGATAAGGAGTAGGAAGAATGTAATGATATAATCCATTAGTTGTGAAATTATCAGGAGTTAATGCGATAGGAATAGTTTGTATTTTTTCGTAAAGGAGATTAGTAACTACAAGCCACATTTCAATGCTAGGATACTTGCTCCTATTACCATGATTTGATCTGATGTCAACTCCAAGAAGAACTTCTGTCACAGCAGCAGTAGTACAATTAAATGCATGATCCCCATCAATGATCCATCTTCCTTCATTGCCCTCAGCTAAAGTATTATCAGCTAGTGAACCAACTGGTGTAGCTGCTTTAGCTACTAGTAGACTCAAGCCCATGAATCCTTCAGTACATACTCCTCTTCCTGTTGCTCCTTCATTACTAGCAACCAATAATAATAGGATAAGGACAGCAACTGAAAGAGCAGGCATTTCTTGATTTTGCAAAGAAGATAAACTCATTTATTATTCATGAATGAATGAATAATGATATAAATGCAAGACACACCCACAATATTTCCATCACGTTGTTTCATGCCTTTCTTTATGGATTTCTCTCAAAGTTTTTGTACAATTTGGAGAACTTTGAGATTCATCTCTCGAGCAAGAAGCACCAGAATAGCATCCCCACGCGTGATATCACGTATCTACTGGCTCCCAACTGAAAGAAACTTCTTTCTCCTAGCCGCTAAGAGGAGTGATGACTCTAAATATGATGACAGAAGATATTTATCTTCGTATTGTTTGGTAGCTGCTATTGGACTAGCGTTCTGTTCTAATAATGATAGAGGTACAGTACATGTGATTATATATACAATTGTGAATGTACATGTATCTGTATGTCTATTGTGTCTTCCCCATTAGAGTTTTATTTGTATTTTTATAAATGGAAAGTACTGGTATATATATCATTATGTTTAATTTAGATAATAACGAAGAATTTTTGTTGGCGGCTAAAAATAGTAACATTGCATCACTTAAAAGGTGAGTTATAAATAGAAACCACTTACTTAATTAAACTACTTAATTAATTAGTTAGTTATGAATCCATTGTACTCTTGAAGACACATTTGGTACACGTACATTTGGGGCGTGTAGTCCCTTAATGTTTATTTACATTCTTGTAGTAATATTAGTTCCTGTAGTAATGATTTCTGTAGTAATAATTAATTCTTGTAGTAATAATGTACCGCATTTCCTTAAGCGTCTATTTCCTAAAATGGTATTTGGACCTTAAAAAAATTAAACAAATAAAATACAACTTGGGCACAGAGTAGGATTTGAACCTGTGACATCATGCACTTGACTTCAGGAACTTAAGGCAGTATCTACAAGGCATCTGAGTTATTTCTAGGCTAGATTTGAGTATTTATAGTTCAATTCTATTGCTACGCCGGAGTTTATTTGCATCCGGCTTTTATTTAAGGAAATACGGTATGTATTTTTAATATTTATATTCCTTCAGAGGATTATCAAATGGTGTTGATGTTAATTGCCGTCATCAGTTAGGATGGACAGCATTGCATGTATCAGTGATCAATGGAAATAAAAAGTGAGAGCACATTTTGTACATGTACAATGTACAGTACATCTATTTTACATACCTTAAGGTTACTTTTAAATGCGGGTACTATTAATTGCGAATTTTGCGTTTGGGTTAAAAATTGCGATTATTAACACGCGCAATTATTAATATGCGCAATTATTAATAATAACATCATGATGCCATATAACTATTAGTAATAATTACTTAATCGCAATTTTTAATACCAGCAAAATCTCCTCATACTAAAATCGCAAAATTTAGTACCCGTAATTAAAAGTCACTCCAAGGTATAACATATGCATATGCATGTGCTGCTCTGAACCATGTTTAAGTTTAATATAGCATTAACCTTTTATAACTGTGATATAATTATGTTGCAATTTAAGGATAAATGCAGTTTCTGAAACCAACAGAAAATAACTAAAACCATATATCTAAAAGTTATTTCCATCTTGTCACTGCAAGAGAAAGATTTCAATGATAATGGCATCATTAACACATATCATTTCTATATATAGGGCTGTTGAGTGGTTAATTAAAGTGGGCGGAGCCAATGTTAATACACAGGATGAATATTCATCAGCTAGGAGGATGGCACGTGTACTAAAGGCATCACATCATCAAAGTAAAGAAAATAATATATTTTGAGCTGATTACAATCAAAATTGAATTTTTTTATGAATTTTAAAAAGTCGCTCCAAAATTGGGCTAAAGTCCCTGTACTATAGTACATGGTCTCGGGGCAAATTTCACTAAAAATGAAGAAGTGAGAATTCTATATTTTAATAATTTTTCCTGATGCATATACATGTACTTATATTTTGTAGAAGGTTTAAGCTGATTCCAATCAAAATTGGATTATTTACGAATTTTAAAAGTTGCTCCGAAATCGAGCCAAAGTTGCTATACTATAGTACAGGGTATTTTGTCAAAAATCACTATGAGGAAGTTCTCCATTTAATCCTGTGTGAAGGGTTTGAGCTATTATGTTTTTATATTTTTAGTTGCTCAATTGAGAGAGCATCACTTCTGTTCATTCATCAATCCTTATGCCACATATACTGGCTTCACTCCATTACACTATGCAGTGATCACTGATAATGAGGACATCATTCAGTTACTACTGGATAACGGTTAGCACTATTCTTTATACAATAATACACATTGACTAATCATAGTGTGAAGAATACATTTATACTATTATTTTTAACATTCTACATTATTTTAATTGCACACGCACATATGTACATGTATCGTAAAGCAGAAAATTTTGGAGGGAATAAAATTTGGCGAATTGCTAAATTTTGGTGATTGGCGGATTTTAATTTGGCGAATTTGTGGCCACGTGCCATTGAGCATGCGTATAATGACTCAAAATGGCGGATTTTTTTATTTTGGCAAATGGCTATCAAAACGCCAATTTTCCAAATTTAATCCCCTCCAAAACTTCCCACTATATGGTACATGCATGATTTATTGAGTCGAAAATTTAAAAAAATTTAAGGCGATGAAATAACCAGCTGTAGGCTAATCTGTTATAACAGGTGGACTACTGTATAAACTAATTCGAACTCTTTGAATATACTCAAGCCTTATATGGTGTTGTCTCCAAGGTAACTAATGTGATAACAGTGCGACCCACAATTGCCTGGTTATGTTTTTACTGTTTAAAAGGAAGAGCTTTAGGCTTACTTCATATCACAGGATTTTGTACTGATCCTCCAAATATTACAAAATTTTTGAATGGACGTAAAGTCCTGTTGTGTTATTGTTTAGACTTTTGAGTCTTAAATTTGATTATTTCCAATTTTTAAATTTTTGAAACAAAAGTTGATAGTAATGTGTAGCTGTGTACTATTTTTATACAGTTTGTGTATTATTGTATGGCGGGAAATTTTGGAGAGAGTTAAATTTGGCGAATTGCCAAAATTTTGTGATTGGCGAATTTTAATTTGGCGAATTAGTGGCCATGTGCCATTGAGCATGCGTATAATGGCTCAAAATGGCAGGTTTTATTTTTGTGAATGGCTATCAAAATGCTGAATTCACCAAATTTAATTCCCTCCCAAAATCCCTCTATATCGTCAATTTGGTAGCGAGACATTGTGAAAGGAAAAGGAAGTCTCGCATTTGCCTTCCGCTAAAACTTACTTGTACATGTACACCTTGATTCAATTAATGATTGATTTAACAGTATTTTATGTTCAATATGTATACCCATGGTTTTGCATTTGGTAAAGTAACACCAACTTAGTTTTAGTAAATTTTAAAATTCTAAAATTATGTGTGACTTTGACATATTTTAATGTTAATAAAATTAATGCATTGAAAATTGGCACAAGCTACATCTAAAGGCTAGTTCACAATATGACATTAGGCCAGTTTACCGTCAATTTTTAATCAAAAGCGTGGGCGATTTGACCTTTGATGCATACTTTCTGCTAGTATAGAACCAGATTCTATTCCAGTGTCAATGTAACGTCAGGACTAGCGTAATATTATAAACCAGCCTTAAATTTAATAATAATTAATAAATTAATAAAGGCAGTTTTTTAATAATAATGAGCATTCCTTCTTTGTCATGATAAGCTGCACATGTGTCATGTAGTGTAGATTGATTAATGATATTCACGCATTATCACTAAGGCAACCAGTGTAAAAACAGTACGCCCCACTAGTGCCTGGTACAAATTATCCTCTATAAATAGAAGCTCTAGACAGGGAAGGGTTTGAATTCCTATAATGCGACTGATGAATAGAAAAATTTTTGAAAGGACTTAAAAGTCCTGTTTATGTTTACTTGATATTGATGATTGATAGTTATTAATTATCAATTAATGGCCGAATATACCTTAAGCCTACTATTTTTAGCGTCTACTAAATTTAGCTATATTAGCGAGAGAGCTTTAAACCACTAAATTAAATAGACGCCAAAATAATTATTATTCATTATAATGGTAGTTAATTTGGTTAAAAACGCTAAAATTAGTAACGCTAAACATGACTTTTGCTGATTTCGCTAAAATTAGTAGACGTAAATAATAGTAGGCTTAAGGTACTGTACATGTGTGCTGTTATTGATCTAGAGGGTGTTTAATCTTTGGTCTGTGTCTCATGAAATCTTCACTTTTAGTACCTGATATTTAACCTTTAGTATGTAGCTACTGAAGTTTTCCACACATATTGCTCTCAATTTTAATAACAGCACTGTCTCCCATTTTTATTTAAATTTATTCCTTTAAATCTAGCAATGTACATGTACATGTATCAATTGTGTTAAAATTAAGATATTGTTTTTGATCTAATAGGAGCCAATCCCTCAATAGAAGACAGTATGGGTCGGACCCCTATTAATTACTGCACTAACGAGTCAGTAAGAAAACTATTGGAGAAATATTCAGTTAAAGTGAGTGAAGAACTAACATGAAATATTTTGTCATTATTATCAAACGTGCATTGATTAGTAATTATAGTTTATTTATTATGTACATGTAGAATTTTTTATTTTCTCACGTAATTTTTTTAAGATTAGAATTCCAAAAAATGCTCTTTAGCTCAACTCGAATTAATTATTAAAAAAATTTTTATTGGCTAATCAGATCAATTTTTGTTAATGTTAACAGTTTGAGGAGAACGAGCTAAGGAAGAGACTGGAGGAAAGAAGGAAGTATCCGCTGGAGGACAGACTAAGGAATCATCTAGTCGGCCAAGAGGGGGCCATCACTACTGTAGCATCAGGTGAAATATAATAATATCATTATTTATTATTATTCTATGTCTGCTTGTGATTGATCAATCAGATTGCTTGAAGTTAGGCTCATAAATACATGTACATGTAACTTACCACCAATTTTCCCGGGAGGTTAATAAGTGGCTCGGGAATTTACTTATCAACCTGCTTAAAAATGCCTGTATTATGTGAAGTAAATGCTGGTTGTTTCATCATTATTTTTATCTATCATTAGCAATAAGGAGGAGAGAGTTGGGTTGGAATGACACTGATCATCCACTAGTGTTCCTGTTCCTTGGATCCTCTGGAATTGGTAAATGAACAAAACTATAAAATATAAATAAATAT